TCCATAGAAACAAGCAGATGACCAAAAAAAAAAACCCAAAAAGTTGCATAGCACACATTTAAGCCTTCACATTCTCCCTGTGCTTTTCTTGCATTTTTCTCAGGGAAGTCGGAGAGAGGATTTTTTCTGATCTGCTTTCCCCAGCGCAGCACATTCGGTGGGCTGTTCTGCTGGAGGAAATGGAGAGCATAGCTGAGCGGTGAGTCATGCTGTTTACTGGTAGAAAGCAGTGGACCAGAGGCAGGGAATCACACCCTCCTGATCTGACGTTTCCTGGAAAATCCCGCGTTTCACTGGAGGAAGGAAAAGTACATTGGGACTGGCATGAGAGAGTGCGCGCAGGTCCGGAGCGGGGAAGGAAAAGGGAGGAGGACACAGCCATGATCTGAGCAAACTGAGTGTTTTCTCCTCAAACCGCAGACATCAGGCTTTGAAGAAATGCTAGGAATGTTTAAAAATGGCATACCTGCACCAACTCACGCCTGAAATATGAGACAAAACATCACCCTTACTTCAAAATACTGTTGTCAAAAGTACATACCTAAATACTGACCAGTAATAAAATTTGTTCCAAAACTACTAATTTGAACAAGTATTGAACATCACATGAACAGAAAATAGAACAGGAATTTTCTGAAATGTGCTAAAAATTGAATTCTACCACTACATTTAGTGTTGTGATAGCCCTGTTACAAAATGCTCTGTTATAATTACTGTTTAATTGCACTTGCAAGTCCGCTTTGTTCATTCATTTATCCAAGTTTGCGTCCAGCACAAATAATAGAGGCTTTTCGTCATGGAAAGAAAACCAAATTCAATGTGATTGTTTTGAGGCAGGCTACTGCAGTTAAAAGAAAGGATAATCTTCAAAAATATGCCTACGTGTGGTTTGAATTGAAACCTGATATTATAAATGCCAAAGGGGATCAATGATGTGTAATAATAATGTCAGTATGAGTCATGCGAAATAACACAAAGTTCCATTCTATTGAAATAAACTGTAACTTTAAATAAAACACAAGTAGAAACATTATTACTACACCCCTCAATATAGAACTACTTCCTACTTACTACGACTATTACTAGTACTATTACTATCAGTCCCACTAATACTACTCTACCACTATAGCAATGGAAATATTTATCCTCACCACTGCACAACACTTGATACAACTGTTCCTATAAGTGGTATTTCTACAGCCATCATCAAATTTTCGGCTACGCACAAATCATTTTCAAAGCCATCAAAGCCAAATCCACCATGTTTTTCTGCTATAAAACGGGGCAAAAACACACACCACGTTCTTTATGACTCATCACTTCACAAACCGCAGCTATTCCACTTTCACAACACACCACCACAAAAACACTGTGCTTTCTGTCACCATCCACTGCCCTGCACACATTGGATATTTGATTAATATCAAGCTTGAAACTAGGGATGGGCTGATAACAGATATTAAAGGTGTACTGTGTAACTTTTCAGGTGGAGGGTCCGTCAAATCAGCCAAATGTTTTTTTCCATTTCTACTTTCGTGAAGACCAAAATCAGACCAGGTTACATGTCAGATCTGTGGTGAGGCAACCCCGCTCACAGTCAGAATGCCTGTTTTTGTTTAGGTTTTTCTGAGCTATAAAACCACTTATAAATCAATACATGTAAGGTAGAACTGTTTAATGTCATACTGTGGAACATTCTAGGCAGAGCAATGACATATCAATAGAAAAAAGCAGGTGACAGACCCCCAAGCAAAAAGTTACATACTGCAGCTTTAAAAGATATCGCTTGAGTTCATGAATTCAGAATGTTTGGCCATTATATATACATTTGTGTAACTTCAAAATAATCTAATAAACAAAGAACAGTGTGATTTATGTTGCTTAAATGTGCCTATCCTAATATAGACTTGTTTATATTACATGATTTGCCCTGATAATTGATGTTTCCCCATTTTTTACACAGTGAAGTACTGCACAAAAAATGAGCAACAGAGACACTTTTTTTGTTAAGAAGCCACTTGTTTTTGTTAAAAGTGCACTGCTCAACTTTTCTGGTGGAGGGTTGCTTGAAAGTGAGATGATATTGCTTTGCCTGGAATGTTCCATGGTATAACTTTAATCATTTCCATCTTGCATTTATTCATTATGGGTGTTTCTATTGCTCAAACATACAAAAGTCTCCACAGATCTGAATGTAGTGTAGTGCTGTATCCTGCCCGTCCCCCTTGTGATAGGTAGGTTTAAGTTATACTGTGGAACATTCTAGAAAAAGCAGTATGTTGCGCAATGCACATTTAATCATAATAAAATATGCAACTCCATGACATACTGTCCTATTTCTACTTGCATCTTTCTTCCATTGTTTTGCATTGTCACCATTACATAGCAAAGGGCGTGGAGCTATGATTCAGTAACTTCTGCATCCAAAATGAAGACATCATCGTTTTTTATGATGAGAGCACATGGTAACCTCATGACAGGGGAGTGCTCCTGTCTGCTGCTCCCATTACGCCTCTATGAAAAACACTGCAACTCAACAGCAAAAATAGAAATCCATATAAGCCAGAGGGATCAAACTTGCTTTTTTAATGTCATATTCTAGGGCTGTGCTGTAGATCAAATGTGATTTGAATCAAGATCCAGTTCTTTCTAAATGTCAGTGAGTGGTCAGCTTTAATCGAGAGGTCGACAGCCAATCCTCTGTCAGTAAAAAGATGTTTGGTTCAGACCATTTTTGTGCATCAAAGGTGCAACTTTGTGGTTGGAGGTCCATCACATGCTTGTTTCTATAGATATCTCACTGCTCCGGCTGGAATATTCCACTATTACACTGACACTACACAGCTGTACCTTACAGTTTCTCAAATACACGTGGTTTTAAAGTTCAAAAATGCCTAGAAAAACAGGCATTCTGACTGTGAGCGGGGTTGTCTCTCCACAAATCTGACCTGTAACTTGGTCTGGTTTGGTCTCCATGAAGATAGAAAGGTTTAATACTATACTGTGAAACATTCCAGACAAATTTATAACTTTCCAAGGAGGAAAGTATCTGACAGAACTTCCACCGGAAAAGTTACACAATGCACCTTTAAATAAATTCCATTTGTTCATGAGATAAAGATTGAAAGTGATATTACTGCTTTTTATAAGAAGAATAAATAAATAAATAAATAAATAATAAATAAAAAATTGTGATTGACATATACAAGGTGAACTGCTTTTGCTGTATCACCCAGCCCTACCATATTCAACAAGGATGGATGACGACTACAAAATCTAGGTAAACAAGGAATGGAATAAACCAAACAAACTGAGATTACAAACTTAAGACATCTAAAACCCAGAAATGACTACTAAACAAAGACTAAAACCAGCAGTATACAAAGATTAAACCCGAGTTAAACCAGACGAGAATCCAGATATTGATTGATGGGTATTGTAATAAAACAGATGTAGCATAAACCAGAACTGTAACATGTGTACAGTGGGTTTGCCTAAATTAGAGTCCATTTGAACCAATTGGCATCCCTCTTGGATGAATTCTTGTTTAGAATTAGTGACAATTATGGAGTCCACTTTAAGGCTTGGTTTAGCCCTATACTATAGACCTGAATAGTTCTGTTATAAACTTCATTTAATTCTGGTGGTACTTAGAAAATCAAACCAAAATCAACCAAAGTTTACAAACCACAGACCTAAATTAATATAATCTAATAAATCAGGTCTTAACAAGGATAAAAACTTGCACAGAACTGCTTTAACAAATAAAAAAATAAATAAATAAAAAACAGAATCTCTCCAATGCCCAATGGTACCACCCCACAGTCTGAGAACTACTGCCTCTCAGATCTGTGCCTATCTAATTGGAAGACATTACTCACTGGCTAATATTTTCCATGTATCTCAATAGCCTTAAAAGGTCGCTCTTTCTTTAGCCCGTGCTATTGAATAAAATACAATACCATGGCATCCAATATTAAGACAATAAATAAAACATTGACTATCAGAGCTGTTAATAGCACTCTTGAGGGCGCATTTTCTTATCTAGGGACGATGTTAAGATGAATGCGAGGGGGAATAGTTTAGTAAGTGAGATCAGATAAAGCTTTTCTTCAGTGGGGGTGATTTATGGTTAGTGGAAATGTGCATGTACTCAAGAGTGATAGTTTCTTCGTGGACAGACCCGTCAGCCTTGGTGGTCCTGCTTCTCTCCGTGCCCTTTGTCCCACATGTCTCTCAAATGCGCACCACGTGTTGTTTCCAATGTCAAAAAAGTAGGCTGGTAAGTCGCTTTTTACACAACCCACGGCTAATCGAGCGTTAAAACGAGCGGAAGGGGCTTTTAAGGGGATGGGGTGACATGTTAATTTAGCTAAACTTTAATATAGTCCTCCCAGCTAATGCTAAATAGTTAGAAAGAGCCAAATTAGCTAACAATCACATGTTTAGTAAGCTAATTAGAAGAGCGCCAAAGTCTTAAATAATAAAACATTAACAAATACCACAATCCTACCTGTATTACAATGTGTTTAGAATTACAGTAACACAAAATTTCCAAAATAATAAAATAAAATATGAATATCGAAATATATAAGACCAGAGTACATGAGGCGTGGTTTTCTATGTAACATTGAAAAATACATTAAAAATCGAAATGACTTCATTACTTATTTAAAAGTGGAATTTAAGTGTTGTAATAAATACATTAATTCTTATTACATCAAATATGCGTAATAAATTGGTTATTATTGGTTCCCTGTTCACATATGGCACAGTCTATCCGCTTTTAGCGTGTGTTATGTTACTCTGACTCAACACGTGTCCTCACTTCTCAAACTATTTTTAAGTCAACATTTGATCTAGAACTTTGATCTAAACAAATCCTATACAATTAGAGCACATGGTCAGTATTAAAATTGGATCAATGCGCCGATCTGTCACCGTGAGAACTTGAGCAATAGTCAGGAATGTCAAAACATCTTCCAAAAAAACAGCCTTACCTCTATGGACGGCTCGTATCTATGAAGAGGAATGCAAAAAAGTTCTGGAGTAAGTTTTTCTCTTCCAATGAGCGGCGAAACTTGACACAGTTGAATAAAGCGTCCGGCAGCAACAGGCAGCGGTGTATCCTCGGACTAAATTAACTACAAAACAACAACAATGTACTGCATTCCACGCGCTGCTTCCGCAAGCACTCACGTCACCGGCTCCTCGTGACCGCCCCCTCCATTCATGAAAATAACTTAGTGCTGACGTCAGTGTGGGGAGGGGGGCAGGAGCAGGACAGAAATAGAAGATAGATACTGCTGGCCGCTGCTTCTGCTTACTTTACAAAACTAATCTGGACAAAGTCGAAGCCTGTTGCCAAAATTAGACAAAAGTTGGCTACTGAAGGGAGAAGTCATAAGAAAAGTTGAGAAAATGGAGTGATGATGTAGACAGACCCTAGTGCATGCCCCCCTCCTACACTCTCTTTTATGGTCAAGTCTACAGAATAAAAATGTGCATAAAGCGAGCGAAAACAGCCCCCACCTCACCCGGAGCCCGGAGCCCGGGGCTCGGGGCTGGGAGCGGAGCGGCATTCCATTCCAGAGGAAAGTATGCGGTTGTAGTCCAGCAGTCACAGGATTTCTCTTATTTTAAGTGAGCAGCTACAGTAACGTCACAGGTTATTCAGGGTAATTAAAGTCCACATGAATGTGTGAACTCAGTCATATTCTGAGCGCTGCTCATTAATCAGCACAGCTCAGCATTGAGGCGGTTAAAACAGATGCACTGTGTTTACACTATAAATACTACTGTTCAAACAAAGCTAAAGGGAGAAGCCACACACTCTCTCATTCTTTATGCTGACTGGACTGAGAGAAAGGTTCATATGTTTGGGTTTATTATGTATGCATTCACATGTGTATTTCAGAATTACATTAGTTATTTAAACTGGTCTTACCCATGTACACACACAGCAGTCTTAGGCTACTTTTATTTTCTCATTTTATTGTTTTGATTAGTCATCCAAATTCAAATGTATTTTTTTTTCTTAGCAGTGGTGGAAGCAGTTGGGCTGGGTTGCAAACCAACGTAAGCATTTATTGACCAAATGCAAGTTATTGTAGTGTTTACGTAGCAGTACTCAATTTTTATTTAGCTTACATCACTACTATGTAATAGCCTAAATTATGATGAAAAAAACTCCATTATACCTTCCCTAGACATTAACAATTAAGGCTGGAAATAAAGGCTTGCGCCGATTGCGTACGCATGTAATTATTCAATGAATGCTGCTTACTCATCATACTCATTCCATGATGTGAAGTAGTTAGTCACAAGTGCCAAGAGAGGAAATATGGCGCATTGCTTCACTCTAATGACGCACATCCAACTTTTATATAAAGATGTGATAAGGACACTTTGCTTATAGTGAAATGTAACTAGAAACTCTCACCTGGGTCAATTCTGATTCACAAAGGAGATAATGCACAAAAATACTTCTAGCTAAACTGACTAATTCTTTCTTTTCTTTTTGGTCCAGTGCCAGAGAATCCATGTTGACGTTGCTTTAGCTTTCTGTCATGGTTTGAGGTTGGTGACTCACTGGATCAGCTCTTCCTTCTGGTGCATGTGGAAGCCATTGTTCAGCATGAGAAGGTGTGTCGCTTTATTTCATGTGCACCAGTGTGTCTGCTCGTGAAAAAACACTGCTCTTTCATCAACTGCCTTATTCTGGTTTAGCCTTTTATCGTGTTTACCACAAACAATGCATCACTTCCTCTACACAACCCTGCAGGGAGAAGAAAATGTAGCTAATAGTCTGTCTCTGTGGTCTTAAAGAGTCAGAATCGTCTTTATTTATCATTTTAATATAGTTTTATTGCAAGGGTGCAAATTGTGCCATATTGAACCAAAATCATGTTTGTTCAGTTGGTATTTTTGCAGTCGAGAAGAAATATGCTAACATGTGTCTGTAAATGTCTTGGTTGAACTTCAAGTATCACAAGAAATGGGCAGTAAAATGAAACACAAATGTGCAGATAAACCTTTGTTGTATAAAGGCATTTTGCAGCTTAACTTATAATATATTTATTGTAGTGTATTGTTAAAATGATATATTACAACAATATTACATTCATATTAAAACATTTCTATATAATATTTTTGTACTGTATATTTTCCATTTGTATACTGATTAAAATCCTTACAACTAGTATAGCTGCTGCTAGGTTGCACCCCATCTAAGGCCCATAGTTGCAGAGACAGTAATATAGCTACATTATACAAACTATGCACATGAATAATACCGTATTTTATATATATAGCTTAAGAAACCAATAGGGGTTCAAAAGGTAAAAGTTGAAATTGAGTGCAATGTTTTTTCACAGAAATCTGTCACTTCCCTAAAGAAACGAAATGTGGGAGAGGTGTTTTCCAATGTATTAGGTTTCATATCACATTTTCTTATAAACACATATACTGTATATTAAGATGTATTAATGGTTTAAAGATGCATTGCGTAACTTTTCCGGTGGAGAGTCTGTTACTGTAAATGTTTTTCTCTATGGAGATTTTATTGCTCTGTTTGGAATGTTTCAGGGTATGGTTTTTTTTTTCTCTTCATGGAGACCAAACCAGACCAAGTTACAGTTCAGATCTGTGAAGAGGCAACCCCGTTCATAATCAGAATGCCTGTATTTTTTGATATTTTTGAGCTATAAAACCACGTGTAATTGAATAAATGTAAGGTAGAGCTGCTTAATGTCATGCTGTGGAAAATTCCAGGCAGAGCAATGACATATCCACAGAAACAAGTGACTGACCCTCCACCAGAAAAATTACTCAATGTACCTTTAATAAAGTTAAATATAAACACACACAGGTCTAGATTTATATATATTTAAAATAATGACCATAGCCGTCTTTTGAGTAGTGATCCCCGAATCTATCCTCTTCCCCATTACACCTGATGTTCTAAGTATTAGATTAATGCAATAGCAACTCTGAATTAATTAATATCTATGAAATTACATGTGAACATTTAGATGAAATAATTAGTTCAACTTATCTGAATGTGTGATGTTTGTATGGCATGATGTCATCATAACTCCCACGGGTACAAATAAACCTTGAACATTGATCCTAAAAGGTCATATTACCTTCAGCTGAGTACTCTGAGCTTTTAGCTATGTTATAATGATGGTACCTCCTCAAAAACTTGCCTGGAGTTGTGTTTTGTTTCATTCACTTGTGTTTGAGTAACCGTTTATTATTAGTCTGATCACATCTCCAATGTTCAAAATGTTCTGTTCCATCTTGTGATGTAGTTTTCAATTTAACCACTATACCTTTTACCTTTAGTTCAGAAGAAACTTTTAATTCCTGGCCTCAAATCATCCAAATTATTCTAGTGAAGGTGTATGGAGTTTAAAAACACAGTGGAGCACTTCCTGTATTACCACATGACATCAGAAGGTGGAACAGAGAGAAGAACTCAACCTAAAAATGTGTTAAACATGTGTGAAAGAAAGAAAACACAACTCACATTATAGCATAGATCAGAAATGGTGTAATACTACCATAGGCCTTTTAATAGTAATAATAATTACAAATTGATTAAAGCTGAGACGAAATGAAATAAACATGGCAGTTAATTTGAGTATGATGTTTTAAATTAGACAAATATCCAGTTAGCGTCCATCTGGCAGTACACAGTGTAATGAATGGCATGAAGTGTACCTATTGAGCCCAGCTAAACACAAACAGCAGACATGTGTTGAACCTGTCGGGGCAGCCTTAGATCGTCTTTCTGTGGGGTCTGTGCAGCTTAAAGGGAGCGTTAGGTTTCAGGAAGTAGCATTGACTCACTAATCTGGCTCGATTCTGACTCAGACTACTGAAGTCCGAAATGTGATCTGCTCCAAGGGGCCCCCTGTTGTAAGCAGCACATCAATTTTTCTACCAAACTCAATGGTGAATAGTGGCTATACTGTTACAATACATATTTTGTAATCAGGCCCATTTCAAAAGTGAACTTAAAGCATATACTTACTCCAAATAATTTCCCTTGTGGATCAGTAAAGTGAAGTGTGAAGCATGGACTTTCAGAAGAAGCAGATGTCTTTATTAATATCTTAAAAGCAATAGAAGAATACAAAGTGTACATTAATCATGATGAGATTAAACTTGTAATTTGGCTCCAAGAAAGTTATGATATTAACTTTTTTACTGTATCCAGAAGTCCATCTTTACATGTGTAAACATCCAGTCCAACATTGTAATGTCATTAAGTGCTTGTCTGTGTTTCTAAAGTTTGTGCAGACTCACCAGACTCATCACACTCAGATTCTGTTCATGTCATTGCTCAATGTCCCTTCACTAAAAGCCATATAAATTATTAAGCAATAGTAGCGAATGTTTGCCTCATATGAGCTGCTTCACACCAACAAGTCCATCTTTTACTTTTTTCTATTTATGTTTCCAAATGCATTTGTCACACATTATTTTTGGTACTTTTACTTCTTGACTTCCTCCACCTCGGGCTGAGACAAGGCTGATGTCACCCACAAAATCTTAAACTAATAAGGAAAAAGCTCAGAGGAAAATCTCATGTTCTCCCTACAGATGTTTTGACATTGTTTAAGAATAGAAAACACACGCCCCCTCTGGCCTCCGTGGCTGGATGTAATCTGAAAATGTTAAAGCATTTTTGGGTACAAACCTCTAGACTTCCCATATGAGACCAGATTTAATTTAGAACATTACTGAACATTCCAGTGACTTCATCGAAATGTGTTTCAAATGAAAACACTTTACGTAACGGCTTGGCGGGCTTGGATCAGCGATCTTACTGTAGTAATGGTTGTGGCAGGCAGCAGCTGTTTAAGTTTAAGGACTTTTAGACATTACAAATTAATAATTGATGCCAAAATTATGCTATTTTGAGTAATAATTATTTTTTAGACCATAAATGGTAGTTCACTGTATCTGTTGTAGACTATGTTAAAATTACAATACACGCATCACTTTGACTGACCATGGCATGGGTGGGGCACCATAGGATACTGTTATATGAACAAAGAAGAGGGATATT